TAAAAATTTTTTTTATACCTCAAAACATGTATAATAAAGCCTCAAATTTCATTTTCCATGATCCATTGAATAGTTTCCAAGAAAAAAATTCCCAAAAAAACGTTCATTTTTCAGTGCGCCTGGGTAGTATAACCCCTTAATAAAGAAATAATAAACAATATAGTTAGAAGTGTATAATTATAATAGGAGAATTAAAGATACATGGATATTGTTTTCTTGACGAGTGTCACCACGTAATATTGTCGGATGCACAAACAAATTATTGAATGGATGCAAGCACCGTAAAGTATGACATTGAAGTTTGTAGAACCTTCAAAACAAGAGCATCATATCTCGTTAAAGAAACTACATATAACAAGCACACGATAATTCTGCGCTTATTACCACGGTAAAGCTCTCCAGGGAGAAAATGTAGATCTTGCCGGCGCTCAAGAAACTCGGTCGTAGATTTTTCATCATCACCATCACGATTAGCTTTTGCGATCTCATAGATACTTCGTACCAGGTACTGCTGTATCTGCCACATTTCAAAGAAATTGAATGCGAAAATTCATACAAAATTCTATTTTCTTCTTGCTTTTAGGTATCTCAAATCACTTACATCTTATCGCACGTCTGAATACTGTGATCTATTAGCTTCTGTCCTTCGAAACAGAGACAAAATAAATGGAACAATTGAGCGACAAAGTACAACACGTATCTTATTGACACCAAAATATCGCCGTTCTGCTGCGTAAACTTTAATATAAAAAAATACAATTTAAAATAACTTGTATACTTTCTAAATTCTTTGAAGTGAAATTTCATATTTTCATATTCATTTCTATTGAATAAAAATCAAAGCAGTCTTTAGTAAAGTGTAGTTCAATTTTTAATCTTTGAGGATGAGATTTTACTCTTCAGAATGAAATTCAATCCGAAAGTTTTAGAAAATATGGAAAACAATTTTATCATAAATAGATACCTACTTGCAGCAAAGTAATACTTAATCCTATGGTTACCACGATCATTTGTGCGGCGAAAGGTATAGTGAAGATATTTTCGATAAGTTCCACAAACCTATGGTAAACGGGAAATAAAATAAACGTAAAAGGAATCTGCGCAAAAATAGTTTCATCTTTAAATGGAGAATATTTTGTATTTTTTTTTTCATATACGATGTTACACTTACTTTAAAGCATCTTGATGTTTGTTTACAAAGAATGCGGTTCTTCCGCGATAAGTATCAATAGAATTGTTTGCAATCTTCATCGTTTTGTCACCTTTATTAAATAGATTTTCGAAATAGAATCTGTAAACAGTTTGTATAACTCTTTTCTTTCTCTCCCTCTCTTTTTCTCTTTTAGTTTGGACATTTCGGATAAATTGTAAAAGTATTTTGATACTCGATTGATGCAAAAGAATTGAATCATATTTTTCAAATAAAGTCGAAAGTAAACTTTTGCAAAAATTGCGGTAGATTTTACTCTATCCTTCTTCTGAAGGCAAATTTTTCGATTCCTTTTTTCAAAGAACTTTAATTTTGTTATTTTATATAAAATATAAAATTAAGTAATTTGATATATTTATATTTGATATATTTATATATCAAATTACTGTAACTAATTTTATTACTTTTCGTAGGAAGCTTGATAAGAAATATATTTTTTCTGTACATCAAGCTTACAAGTTTCCTTACCCGACCAAAGCAAACATGCTGCAAACATGCTCGACAAAAGTCACAAACATACAATCGTGAGCGATTATTCCGACCGCAGCGATTTCCCAAGCAATGATGGAGTGCCAGAAGATTTTATAGAAATATTCCCGAAGTTCCACGAAATAGTATCCTGGATACGGGGGTATTATGGGACGGGATTCATTAAGAGGCCATACGGCGTCAAGTACGAATGGCACAAGAGACAATGACATAAACGTAGTTACCGTTAACATGCAATATACTGCAATGGACAAAGTATAAATCATGATTTTGAACGTGCATTGGAGATTCGGAGTATTTAGATAGTGAAAAAGATATCACTAATATAAAGCAATTTGTGAAAAAGGAAATGTATATGTTTTGGAAATAAAACAGTATAGAGCATCCCTCTCATCGCTTCTCACCCGTATACACCACACAAAATCGTCTACTGTTCTGTGCGTATAATTTCATAATCTCGTATTCTTTGGGAGTTTTCAATTCCTTCCAGTCAATGAATAAATGTTGAGTGAGTCTCTTGATCTGACAAAATGGATATTATCAATTTTAAATAAAATAACGTTTATAGAAGTGTAAGAAATGTATATAAAGATTTTAAAAAATATTGAAATTTTTCTCTTAAACTGCTACAGAGTATCCCATGGGAATGTGATGAAACTAATCAGCTGTCATTTTTGAAGGTATTCAGTTATCGAAAAAACAAAAATTGCGCTGAAAAGAGGAAACTCTAGAATTTTTAATGAGTATAAATAAAGTTTAAAATTACAAAACGTTTCTGTATCATTTAATTTTTTTAATGAAAAATATACTCATAATCACAAAGAGTAATTTTTTCGGAGGGTGCACCATCTGAATTTATACAAATCACAATTTTTTTACGAAAGTTCGTAAAACCTTTTCTAATATATCGTTTCTAATATTGCTCATAACTTTTTAAATAGCTGCTACTAAATTTGAAGTTATTTTTCGATCTTATCTGCGATTTTACATATAATTTTAGCGCTTACTTGATTTTAGCATAATTTTTCATCAATAAAATTAACTGATACACAAACATTTTGTTAAATTTCGTTTTATTCATACTCATTAAAAATTGCAGACTTTCCTCTTTTCAACATAATCTTGGTTTTTTCAATAACTGAATACCTTCGAAAATGCTGATCAGTTTCAACACATTCCGATGAGACACCCTGTACTTTTAAAATCGAACATATCGAAACATTTATAATTGCTTAATTAGAATATACCGTGCGAATATTTAATTGAAACGTGTACACCTTTAGCAAAGAAGAACACGTCAATGCATACGATGTCATCACCTCAAAAATACATTGCAAATTTTTCTTGCACATAAATTGATAACTAAACTGAAATCATTGTCGTTTATCATTCTTACGATAGATCCTTCTTTTGAACGTTACATCAATTTACCTGCGGAACGAGTACCGTCAGTATAGTTATAGTCATTACAGCAACGCGAAATATCCTTGCTTTCAGTTTCAAATACGGCCATGTACCGGTGAGCGATGATATTTTGTAGACGATATTATAGTAACGCTTCCAGGTCTCCATAATTCATAGAAAAAACGATACCGCGTTTTCGACGTCGCGAAGGAGACTAATTTTGAACTTTCGTACGACTGATCACTCACCCTCTGATATCAGACGTCAATTAAAATGATATCCTCTTGCGCTAAAACTGCTGTACATAGTCTATTCTCACGAAATAACTTTATTGCATGCTATGTCAATCGACGACTGGACATAGAATTTATAGGAACAGGTGGTATTTGATTCTTTGACATTAATAATGTAGACCCTCAATAATGAACGGCTCGTTTTGCAAGTTCCCTCCGGAGTGTACGTATCGATGAGAATGAAATAGTGCGATGAAATGAGTACTCTCTTTTGACAGAGAAAGAGACTCTTGTAAGTGGCGTGAGTGTTCGAGGCCTCCGGAAGAGATCGGGAGGGAAAGCTTTTTATTCGCTTAGCAATATAATAGCAAAATAAAATTTTATTACTTTTGCTTCGTTACATAATAACAAATATAAACATTATTTTACTGGATGTATTATTTGTAATTGTATACTTCTATGGAACAGGGATGTTTTACTACATGCTACCATTATCGCCGGATATCGATCATGACACGTCAAAGGACGACAGTAACGTAAAGTACGATATCGAGCTTTGCACAACCTAAATGAAAACAAGGTTTTATGTATCTTTTTGATTTGCATTTGTATATTTTTTATAGCGCTTGTCGTGTTAATTGTTTTACCGTCGTGAAATTTTCTAGAGAAAGCACGTACATCTTGCCGGCGGACGAGACATTAGCCTCGATACTTTTTCTCATCACGAACATGAGCAGTCTTTGTTCCTTCACGGGTATAGTAACCACGAGCCATGATATCTATAAAATTATCATTATACATATAAAATGAGTACAGTAGAAGTTTATTGATTGCAAACAAATGATTAAATTCTTGTAAAAGTTTTTATAGAAAATATATACTCGTCTTTTTCATGTCGATCAATTTATTTTCAACTTAATACCGTCTCTTACATCTTGTCGCAAGTTTCGAGACTATGATCTATCACTTTTTGTCCTTGGAAGCTGAAGCAGAACAAGTGAAACAATTGACCAAAAATAAAAGAAAGTACCTCATCGCTTCCGCTAAATCGTGCAGCTGTATCGAGAGCTTTAAGGCGAGAATGATAAAGTCTTGTTTTAATCTCTTATTAACATTATAAGATTCTCGTATTTGGTAGCTATTCGTAAGTCACTCACTTGTACTAAAGTAATACTCAAGCCAATTGTAATGATAAGAAGTTGCACAGCGAACGATATCGTAAAGGTACTCTCAAGAAATTGAGCGAATCTGTGATAAGGATACAATAATGACGATTAAATATCTAAATAAAAATCAAACAAAAACATCGCAACGTACCATATTTCAGCAAAGATCATTTGTTAATTAGTATCGATATTAATGGTTGTGTTCAGCAGAGAAAATAACTTTATAGAGCGGACTTTCAAAATGCATTTTGTTCAAAACATCATTTTTTAAATTAGAGATGGCGTAGTGTTCAATAGTGAAAGACACATATTATAAGCTACTTTGGAATATTCAAATAGCATTTATTCAGCGCCAACTTATTATACAGGGTGTTTCCAAATTAAATGGCAAAACTTCGGGAGCGTGTAGAGGAGTAAAAAACTAAGAAAAAAAGTCCTATAGACATATGCTCGTTTTTGCTCCGTTTCAGAGAAATCGAAAAAAAATGTTTACATTTCTTGCCATATCTAGCACCGACATATTTGATTACATTTTCCACTTTCTGTTATGAATTTGTCAGTCGCTCTTTGAAAGCCTTTAACAGTAGATGAATTTTGTCTTTTGCAATATGCCGCGTACGTATTCTAATAGTGAATATGCTGATATGGTTTTTGTATACGGTTTCTGCAACGGTAATGCTTTAAAGGCGGTGCGAGAATATGCACGACGATTTCCAAACAGAAGAGTGCCAAACCGAAGAGTGTTTATGTTGACATTTAATAGATTGCGAGAGACTGGAACATTTTCAATTCGACAAGAAAACAACCGATTTCAAGCAGCGTTACGAAGAGATTTGCAGGCAGGGAATCGTATTTTACAACATTTTGACAATCATCCTGAGACCAGCGTTCGGAATGCGTCGGCTGTATTGGGAGTGTCACCACAAACAATTTGGC